TATGCTCAGGGCTCAAAATACAAAAGCATTAGAAAGAATAAGCCTACTGGAAAATGCCATTCGCAGCAAAAATTTCCAAACAGGTTTATCATTTCTTCATAAGATGTTGTAACGCACTGCTGCTAGGGTTGTATGCAGCAGCAAGTTGCCCTATTTTTATAGCGTGCAATTTTGCTGAAAAGCAGAATGCAATGTAAGCTCATGGGTGGCATGGATGCATGCATGTTTTTCTAATCACTTGGAAATGTGCTTTTACAACTTTCACAGTGTGGTGGATATTAAAAAGAACACCACTTGGTCAAAATTTCTTGAGCCCTCCACTATGGCATCCCCTATAATCACACCATGGTTTTGAGACGTGACATGCAACATATCATTACACTTTAATTGCATATCTCAACTGCATGCTATGTTTATCATATATATTATTTGACCATGCACACCTAGGATGATACCGTGACAATTAAGGGTGCAATATACTTTCTTTCTGCACACTCTACTTTTTCATTGCAGCAAAGAACCTTGTCCTTTGCGAGTGTTGCAGCCGCAAGCCTCAAAAACAGAAACGACTTGCACCTTTGCCACCACTATGTGCTGCCACGCTGGAACCACCACAGCGACCACGGACAGCCCTGAAGTAGCCCACTCAAGTGCGTGGGAGGCTGCACCGCTTATCAATTATGTGCCCACTGACAGAGAGGTATCATAAAACTCTAGTATGCTTTGTCATGAAGATATATTGCTTTGCTTTAATGAGAAAATGTGCATTGACAAACTAATGTGTGCACATCATCTTTGACTTGTTTTATAGGTGCATCGGAGCAAAGCAATTGCCGTTCCCAAGAGGTTGTACAATCACCCCATGGGCTTGAAAAGACAGACCCGTTTTGTTCGTGAGGCGGCCGTTACCATTTTTTATACAGCAGGCCAAGTCGGTAGAAGTGTTACTGGCGCAGCCTCCAATCGGTCTAAAGGGGAGGCGAAATCTCCCTAGGAGAAAGAAACATATGCTGTGTTTTCAGGTAGGTGAAATTTTGCAATCTGACCAAAATTCATGGAAGTTGGTGGCTCCATTTTTGCACGTTATCAACTGAGGTTTCACTGCCAACTTGTGTTATAATTATTTACTAAAGCTTCAAGTGTAGCTTTTGCCTACTGGAGCTGGGTACTTTTATGCAAGAATCCACAAACTAATTTTAAACAATATTAGAGAGGCAGACTGGTAGCACTCCTACTTATTTCCTTGTCATATTGACTCCTCTATTTAGAGTGCACATATTTGTCACTTAATAAGTGCCTGTAACTTGCTTTGTTTTTGATCATGCAGATTTCTTCAACCATTTTTTTGAAGCACACCGTTCTGATTGGAGAGGTTGGGCAAATGAAGAAGCTCCTCAATAAAGCTTTGGCAAACAAAATTATTCACTTTATGAAATCAAAAGATTAACCAAGGAATGGCACATCAAATAAAATATTTTGTTTGATTTCTGTGTTCATATTTGTGTCCTGCTTGCTCTGATGTAGCGGTGCACCTGCCAGTTGGCTAAGCACCGATTCGCTTGTGGGCCTATCAGAGTAGAATGCTACACTTATAGGCTGGCACACGAGTACTGGTACACTGATAGACTGGTACACTGATAGACTGGTACACTGATAGACTGGTACACCGATAGACTGATACACTGATAGACTGATACACTCATAGATTGATACACCTATAGACTGATACACCTATAGACTGATACACTCATAGACTGATACAACTGTCAATAACCTGACAGCCTATCAGTTTTTCTATCAGAATTTTTGCTAGGGCAACTATGTACTCAACAACAGTATACAGTAAGGCAAGTGCTAAACCCTCCGTTGTGCTGTGATCTTTAGGTCAGCAGCCTGCGATCTTTAGGTCAGCAGCTGAGTACCCTAGCCACTGATCTATCGAGGCGGATTACGGTTTAAAAATAATACCACTAGTGACTCAGCTTTCTGCATTACATAAACTAAGGGCGTGCGAATATTTGAGATATCGAATACACTGAAACCACAATATAACGCACATGGATAAACAAAATATCGGTTATTATGAAGTAAACAAAAAAATTATGGACTGTCTTCCTAAAGGGAACACTGATGAGATGTGAAGCAGCAGCAGTGTGCACGGCGTTGGCCCAGTTGAAACAGGCGTCGACGTGGTTGCTGAAAAAACGGTTTGAAGCGAAATTCTGTGTAGCGTTCACTCGAGTTAACGTTTCTTTAAAACGCAAACACACAAGAGACGGGTTAGGTTTCGTGTAAGTTTCTTCGCGAGTCGAAAGAGTGTTTCCACTAGATGTGTGGTCGAGCGTTGTGGGCGGTGGAGAAGGTGAAGCGAGAGAAAAGTGTGTTGCGAGTGGGCGGAGGAGCGGGCAGCTGCGCGCACTGCGGTGAGCATGCTGCTGGTGAGGTAGAAAGTTATGCCAGAGCGCACTTGCGAGGGAAGCGTGTGAGGGGAGCGTGACGTCACCGCGCAGCTACTTACTGGTACCGCTCCAACACCTGCGGCAAGGGGAATGTGTTGCGGCGCGTTCGTACAGACAAATGTACGTAAGGCATTACACACGTGAGTCAAGAAGTTGCTTCACATCTAAAACAGTCTTGCAACAGACTGTTCTATCAGGCCAAAAGGACCAGACTGGCAACCAGTGCTTTCCTCCTCTCTGGCTTGTTCCGACAACATTGAGTGTACGGGTGGGAACTTGGATGAGTGGTGTCGTCACACAATTTTAGAATGTTTTAGGTCGAATATCAGATATTTCTTTTTTATTACGATGTCAGCCTGCAAAAGGTCGATGGGAACTATTGTGCCACTTTTAGCTAGCAACTACAAAAAAAAGAAGGAAACTCTGGCAGTTAGCGGCCACAGGCGCAAGGAGCATCCATCGAGGCGTACAACGGTTAAAAAATAATACCGCCAGTGACTTGGCTTTTTACATTACTTATACTAGGGGTGTGCGAATATTCGAGATATTGAATACACTCAAACCTCAATATAATGCACACATACAAATGAAAGATCGGTTATTATAAAGTATAATTTCTAAGTATATGGGACCTGCAACACCAAATGCGGAGTTTTAGCGGAAGACTGAAATATTATTTGGAACATGTCTAAGATCACTTAGTCATCTTCTGTGCTGTTGGCCTTTATATGACCCGGTGCAGAAAAGAAGTTCTCTTGCATGCACTCCTCAAACCCTCTGAAACATATTCTATTCTATATACCGTATGTACTCCCATAATTTGCGCACTTTTTTTTGCGATTTTTGGGTCCCCGAATAGGGGGTGTGCAAATTACGAGGGGATTTTGCGAGCGTATATGAAATATTGTGTCACACATTCAACGCGTGCAGTATATAGATAAAAAAAATTGATGAAATGAATTGGAGCACAAACGAAGTGTACATGTTAGTTATGAAAGAAATAGCGCATACTTCAACCAGGCAGATCTGATTACGCGCGGTCTAGCGGGAATCACTGATCGCGAAGTCCAATTGGGAATCATCGTCGGGGCTGCTGCCACCGCCCTCACGAAGCACATCATCCTCAGTTCCGTCGAGCACGTTCAAACGCCCCATCTTCTTAAAGCTCTTTCGACAATGCTGGGAGAAACTAGGTCCCACAACACGGCGATACCGGAACAACTAAGCGTGCACACATAATTGAAAAGGCCTCCTTCAAATGCAGAAAACTTGCATTAGCAAGCGCGCACTTGTCCGCTTTCTTCTATACCAATTGCGTCGCTCGTCACGTTGAAGTACGTCCCTTTGAAGTACTTTGCAGCGGCACCCTTCACGTTTTCTTCGGCGAAATTCACAACAGCGTGCTCCAATTTCACCGTATATATAATTACTGTAGGACATCGCAAGGGAACCGTCGAAACGCGTCGGCCGGATGGCAAAACATAAACTTCCGAAATCGACCTAGCGTGCGTTGCTGCGTGGACGCAGAGAATGAGGGCAACAGTTGGTACGACAGGCCCAGAGAACACCTCCGATGCAGAAAGTCGTCCGTGCTGTGAGCGTGCATTCTCGCCATTATCGTGGTGGTAGAGATTGGGAGATATAGGGAGGAAAACGCTCGAGCACTTCAGCGACCCATCAACAGGTTTGTGTTCAGGTGCGGTATTCCAGGGACCCTAGTTCGGAGTAAGTCCTCGAAAGAAGGGACTTTGCAATCGCAGCGTCTTTCACTTCGCTCGTCTGCTCGGCGAGGCGCGCACCCGGCCGAAGCATCGAAATGTCCAAAGGTGCGCACGCTGGCGAGATGGCTTGGGCGGGTCGGGGAGTGCAAAGTATGCGAGTAAATATTTTCTTTCCAAAAATCTGGCAAAATACTTGCGGTGTGCAAATGATGCACATAAATATGGTACTTTTTTTGGTTCTTAATTACAAGTTCCTTTCTTTTTCATTTTTATTCTTTGCGAGTAACTAAATTATCAACACTTATGGAAACAAATTGTTTGCAAGTTTTTATCGACTAGGTTACTAAAAATTTTAAACCTGAACCGACTCTGTGTGGTTGATTTCAGAAAAAATGAAATGTTTAACCATTGCATGGTTAAAGGCAAGGACCCTTAACCCTTCTTATTTGCAGGCACATTATCGTCTTGTAAATACGGTATGTCCTGAACCACCACTGACACCTACGTACATCAGGCATAAATGCATACAGATGTGGTTTCCCTAGCATAGATTCATTTGGTGCCAGCTCTGGACTGCGCAGAATGCCTAGCAGAGACAGCAACGCATCTTATTTGTAGGCCAGGAGTGTGAGGAGGATGTATTGAGACAAACAACTTGGGAGCCTTACCAAGACTTGCAAGTTTGCTAGAGGATGGTGTGGCCAAAAGTTCCAGCTCAGAGGATTTGTCTGTTGCATGTACTACAATAACATGATATATTCTCAGAATAGCTAATAATGGCATATTTTACAGCCCTTTACAACAAGAGAAAAGAACGTGCCTTGAACATGGTGTTGTACAATCCATCCACCAAGGCTAGGAAGCAGAGATAGGGTCGGTAGAGAGCAAAATCCCGAGGAATTGTGTCTGTAAGTCCCGAGCAGCCTTGCGGGCTCAGATGTCGTGCGTGCGCTAGTACCAGCATCCGTCGCAACAGCGCAATACGGCCACATCGCCACTGGTTATGAGACCACACCGCCAGCGCCATGGTTGTCCAGTAGAATGGGCCCTCGGTCTGGGGTAAACAAGAAAGAAGTATTCAGACTACAATCAACAGTAGCGATGAGCAATTAACCACAGTCTGAAAGGAAGTCAAGCAGAAGCTTATGTTGAAGAATAGGTCGGACCCGCATATAGTTTGAGGTGCATTTCGGGCGTAGCAAATGCGAGAAAAAAAGTTTTCACTCGAATATAGACCGAGAAAGTGAGAAAAATACATTTATTTACACTCAATTACTCATCGTCATTTGACGAGCTTTCATCCGAAGCTCCCTAGTCCAACATGTCCTCCTAGAGTGCCTCGTCATCAGTGCCACTGAGAGCGATTAAGATAAAGCACTTTTTGAAGGAACGGCAAACGAGCTCCTCAGAAATACAGGCCCAGGCCTCGGTGATCCACGAGCACAAAATCACTGGCGAGGCCCGTTTCAGTTGCCCGGCAGGAGTCACTTCCGCATCTCCGAACCTCATTCAATCCTTATCCAGGCGCTTGATGCGGTCCTCAAATGACTTATTGAGGCACACATCAAGCGGCTGAGGCTGGGAAGTCATCCCTCCCGGGATAACAATGAACTCTGAACGGTAGTCGCGCAGCAATCTCTTCACAGAGTCCGCGAGATGAAATTGAAATGCATCGAGCAAAAGCATCGATGGGAGCCCTAGCAGTGCTCTAGGCCCTCGACACTGCAAGGACGTGATCCAGTAAGGTACGAGTGATTCATTCACCTCTTGTCCTGGCAGCGGATGACAACATTTCTTGAGAACTTCTCCCCCTTCAGCAATATCTTTCGATTGAACACAACGTAGTGTGACAGCTTGCATCCACCTGCCGTGCAGGTCAACATTACAGTCGCCCACATTTTCTTCACCCACATTTTCTAATTTGCACTTGAATGCACGGTAACTTGCCTGGAGCCTTTTTCCTAAACTGTCAGAGTCGAGGGCATATCGAGATACACAGGCGTCTGATCAGTGTTTCTGATCTGGCCCAGATGTAAGGAGACTGCCTTTCGCAAGGAAATCATGTGCTTCTGAAAGCCCACAAGCAGCTCTTTGTAGTTTTTTGGCAGCTTCTATAATATTGACATAGGCCGACATAGGGAGAATGCAGCACGGTGCATGATGTGGGACACCCAATGCTTCATCGCCTTGAAGACCGCCTGTTCAGCCTGTTCAGTGCCTTGATCTCGCACAATCTCCCTTGCCTTTGTTTGCAGCAGCTCGATGTTGAGAGCAAGCTGTGCAGCCCGTTACTCCCGAACAAAGTTTGACAGTTCTTGTTCAACGCCAGGAAAAGCTCTATGTTGTGGCCCCCGAGAAATTCTTCGCTGGCCGCTGCATTCAAGAAGGGCTGCTTTCTGCTTCCGCCAGCTGCGAATGCACTGCTCGTTCACGGTCCATGAAACCATTGCCCCGCAGCACAGTTACCAATTGTTTTGAGCAGCTAAGATAGCCTTTCTTTTAAAGGCAGTCAATAAATACTGCCTTCGCGGAGCTGGCATGGCGTAGTCACAGGACTTTCCGCATTCGCGGAAATCGACATAGCAGGCCACGGCTAAAAAGTGACAGTTTCACCAAAAGCGCGAAACAATGAATGCGATAGCAACATATTCCAATGTTTTATGAAGCAAGGCTAGCATGTGATCTCGCATAACTCTACAAAACGCTGGAGTAAAGCAGAATTTACACTAGAGCGACATGACACTGACATGACCCCGACGAAGACAAGAGGCAGACAGAGACCATTAGCCGATGAGTCGCCCACCGACAAAGTCGCCAGATCCCATGGTCACCCAAGGTTGACGATGATGCCTCAAAAGACAGCATGTCATCGTAGTGTAACATAATGACAGACTGAAAACACTCGCAAAATGTATCATCGGCGTGTCGTCCGGAGATCTGCAGTTGAGCCATAATTTGCCCATGTCTTTGCTTCAAACGACCACGAAAGGATAAATCTTGGGGGAGATAACAATGCTCCATCTGAGGCGTTTGAATAGGCATCTTGCGCACCCCACGAAAGTCTTTTTATTGCTTCCCTTTCCGGACCCCCATCCCTGTTCCTCAACGCCTGGGCTCACGTAGCCAGAGAGGGACTATGGCAGAGCAGGGAGCATGGCTGAAAATTAGGTGCAGGTGTGCAAGTTTAGTCAGTGTCACTGCGTGTGCCTCCAGTGTGACTACATAATTGGCCAATGAAAGGCTGTGAACATGACACAAGATATGCGAGTTTGACTTAACAAGGTATTACTGTATTTAAATTTCACACAGGAAAAGAAAAATTTTGAGGTCATCGATTGTTGAAGGCAGAAATTATTTTGTAAAGCTTGGTAGTACAAAAAAAAAACCAAATAAAAACACTCATAAGAACTTAAATACAGCTACAGTGCAGTGGCATGCAAAAGAAAAAAAAAACGGCCGTCTTACCTCATAGCAGTTTTCTATCTGCCGATCAGGTGACATCTCGAGAAAGTTTGCAAGGTTCTTCTCCTCTCGTGCTACACACCTTGTCCTTAAACAAAATAAAAAAACATATATTTAATTTTCTTTCCTCTAGTGACATTTGCTGAAGTGTACATCACACATGGCTATCTCACGTCCGACTGGGTAACTGGGTAACAGTAACTTTTAATGAGAGCTAATTGTGGTAATTAAAAAAAATATAATGTAGTTCTACAGAAGCATACAAAAACACAAGATGATAAGTTGAACAACCATAAGTAGTGAAGAAAGTACTAAAAAGTACTGTCCTTTTGTGAATAATTCAATCAAACATTACACAAGTATTTATTATTTGCTGCAGCTTGAATTGGAGTCAAAGCTTCTCCAGTGTTTGAGACAATTATCTATAGTTCTGAGACTAGATTGCTCGACACTGAATTTGATGGAACACTATTCTACTCGTTGATTGATTGATTTGTGGGGTTTACCGTCCCAAAACCACCATTTGATTATGAGAGACGCCGTAGTGGAGGGCTCCGGAAATTTTGACCACCTGGGGTTCTTTAACGTGCACCCAAATCTGAGTACACGGGCCTACAACATTTCCGCCTCTATCGGAAATGCAGCCGCCGCAGCCGGGAAACGAACCCGCGACCTGCGGGTCAGCAGCCGAGTACCTTAGCCACTAGACCACCGCGTCGGGGCACTATTATACTCGTGCCTGGGCCACGCGCCATAGGCGTGTGCTTCGCGTGCTCACACATTCTTGACGCACCACTCAGGCCTGTATATGTTTCTTTGGCGTTCATTTCCCCCTACCTCTTTGGCGGCTTCCTTGGTCAGCTGCGTGTTGAGATAGGCAGATCAGAAGATCCCTGTTTTATTTTTTTTTCTGTCTTCTCTCATCTGTTATTTTTTTCTACCTTTCATTTTCTTTACCCCATCCCATGTGTCGTGCTGTTGTGGTGACCTCCTATTAGAGAGACAGTAACGGCGCACCACTTTTCTCTTTCCTTTTAATAGCCATTCCAGCAAGTTTTCGAACCTGCCAAAACCGCTACATTCCATGTACTGCCACTGAGCACTGGCATAGGCTGAAACTTGAGCGTAATAGTCAAGGCAGGCATGGTGGTCGACAACTAACTGTCACATTATATATTTGGTACAAGTGTGTGAATGTCAAATTCTTCAAACAGCAATCGAATAGAATACACAGCTTCGAATACAAATCGAATAATCAAGAGATGCGATTTTTTTTCACAGTAATATTCTACTTTACCATATATATTTTGTTGAAAAAGTACATTTGTTAGCTACGCAAGTCTGTTATTGCACAAAATAAAAGCCACCATCTGTACTTGCTAGGAAGCATATGACTGCACTAGATAGTTGAGCCTAATGGTAACTGTGATGTTTTGGGTTCAATTCACATGCTGAACAAATGTTTTTTTATCTCTCTTTTTATGCGGCTGCACTTTATTACGAAAAGAAGAGCTTTTGTACCTGGACATGATGACTAGTGAGTACAAGGCTGCTGCTTTGATTCGTGCTAAAGCAGCCGCATTCCAGTTAGGTAAAATGTAACGGATTTAAGTGTATTACTAAAGGGCCCTAGGTGGTCAGTTTACCGGGTTCCCATACTCTCAGTTATGGAATGCACAAAACCAGATTTTATTGTGTTCTCAATTTTCACCCTTGTTCTCACCGGTCAATACGTTAAGGCAAACAAGAGTGGCTTTCAACCACACAGCAATACTCCTTATGTGGCTAGCTTTTGTTCCCTTTTTAACTACGCCCTTACCATTTTTCTATCAAGAGCGTTCTATCACACTGATAGCCGCATGATCGTGACCAAGCAGTACCGGGTGCATTGCGACAATCTAAGAAATTCATGCAAGAGAGATAATTATTAAGTGACAAAATGACACCCCAAATATGCTTTGTTAATGAAGCCACAACTCCTGGTGGCAAAGGCACTGGCTAAAGTTGTCACACTGCGAGATCGCAGCAACGGGGTTACAGAAGATTGATTGCAGGAGACGCTGCCACATGAGTGTAATGCGCGTATAGGACGGATTTCCAAAGACACTGTTGGGAATGCGCAGCATAACCATGCAGTAACTGCCTCAACATTCCGTGCGCTGCCGTTAGCAACATAGAAATATATGTGATGATGCCATTGTAATGTTAGTGAATGAAGTGCATGGCCTTTTCTTTGTTTGCCACCGCCCGAAAAAGCAATTGAGGTCATTCACATGACTGCACGCGACCATGAAATAAGTTCAAAACTATGACAGAGATTCCATGCATGCTGACAGAGCGGCACAGCTGATGGAAGACTCGTCAGGCTTTTGTCCACGTGTGCGCCTAAGTTTTTGCGGCGATCCATTAGCGAAAACTAATACAGCTACACGTGCTAAGCGTTACCTGCTGCACCGTCAAGCTGAGCATCTCTAGCTAGCTGTGTGCAGTGCATCACCTACTAAGCTCACTCTGTCAGCGCCGCTCGCTGTAATGAATGCGTGCATTAGCCCTTGTGCAGTGAAATTTTTCTTCGTGCTCGATCAGTTCCAGACCGCGCAAAAGTGTGATGAGTACTTTATAAGGCCAATGCAACAGCGTCGGGTTGCCTGGACTTCCATGAGCGCGATGCACACTTTATTGAAGTGGTCCTGCACACAAAGGTGCGGCAGTGAATGACGTGCACTCCGTACACTTACAGTACGCCTATGCGAGTCGTAACAACGCTAAACCGCTAAGCCAAACTTAAGGCCGAGAAGGCAGTTAATGATCTACATTCTTCAAGATGTTTATCGTTGGCAGCTTTGTCGCGACGATGTGCCGGCGTGCCTGTCAGCAGCCATCATGATGCTCCCGTGCATTTTCATGCAACTGTCATAGCACTCTCGCCGAAGTTGATGCACTTATCCTAAAGGCGCAAAATCAGAAGTTCTCTACAATAGCACATGCGACCGAATCTTCAAAAACATAAAAAATTCTAGTTACTATGAATATTCGACAAATTTTCGAAACTTTCAAATATTCATACACTCCCTATTTTTTGCTAAGCAAATATCATGGCAGTGGACCAGACTAAGGACCACAAGAGCGACAAGTGTGCCTACTAAACTAGTTTGCAGACTTGAATAATAGAAGACACAGAAGGGGCCCTGCAACAGTTTTCAAGTAACTGTCAAATAACCTCACTATTGAAGAGAGTGGTGGTCTGTGCTGGTTGGTTTGTCATACTAGTCACGCACAAGAAAAAACAGGGGTTTACTGCCTTACAAATCGTATGCCACAAGGGCTTCTTTTGATTCATCAGGTACGAACAGAGTTATAGTGATGTGTTGCACACTCAGAGTGCTTTCCCTCATTTTTATTTGTGATGATGAACATGCTGGAAGCTTCGTACAGTTAGATGACAAAGGGGCAAGTGTGTAACGGTTTCTGGAATTTATTTCTTTAAATTATGTTCACACACTGTTGGTATGATGACGCGTGTGCTGTCTACACTTTACTGCACCCTGTGGTCGTTGTGGTAACCATGCAGCCAGAGAACTATTATGCGCCAAAGTCTGGCAGAGCTATGGGAGCACCCGCTATGGCTTTCCAGCCACCATATATTATACAGCAGAATCTTGGCGATACGAAATCTCGAACGATACAAATTTCTGCGTTGTCCTGGCCAAGGCCCATAGCCTACAATGTGTTAAAGTACGGTTGTTACTAGCCATCTGCTCGTGCGTAAACGATGTACACATCTTATATCCACATTTTATTTTGTGACCCAAATACTAGACATACTAATTTGGCATGTTAGTTTTTCATGTTTTTTTTTTTTTCGTGATACAAGTTTCAGCTGATATGGATATTTTCCATTACTCCACGAGATTGTATTATAAAGATTCTACTGTATTTTGTGCACATCATCATTGTATCATGTCGGCTGGACTGAGAGATAATAGACAAATCCAGATAATTTTGGAGCAAACACAATGAACTAAATACTGAACGATGTCGAGACACATGAAAGACAGGGAGTATAATGCCAAGCGCACTAGTGGATATAGAAACAATGATACACATTGGTAAGTACCGTCATTGTAGGCTCACTACGAAACAAGTGACAGACTACTCAGGCATGTAGTGTTTGAAACAGTGCAGCCGTGGCATGGTATGCCACCCATCCCAGATGCATGCAAGAGAAAGAACCTATTTGCAGGTGGCCGTTTATCGAGACTGCAAGCGCTAGGGCAGTTACTTGTCAATGTATCTGAAGAAAGACACGAGTATCTGTTACGGATTAAAATCGAAGCAAACAGTAGAAATATGACAAAGGTGGTTTTCTCAATCATGAAATCACCCAATGATTAATTTTGAATACCTTGAGTAGTAAAGCTATGTGAAAATCACATTGACTAGAAAACACTATTACAACAATTTATGAAAGCTTAAATATTTGCACATCCCTATATAAAATAGTACAGTCGAATCTCATGAATTCGAACACACTTAATTCGAACTTCCGGTTAATTCAAAGTAATGCTGAGGTCCTGTCAAAGCTATGTGTATTTCAATGGGCGAAAATGCCCTGTAATTCGAACCCGCGAGCACTTGCGACGGTTAATTCGAATATACCGTGCTCCGAAAATGCTCTCAGCACAATGCCCAATCCCGCGGCAGCACCTCCGACACCTTAATGCTGCGTGCGAAGGAAAAAAAGAAGGCTGCGGTAGAATGTGTGCTTTCTCTAAAACGCCGATCTGCGACGTGCCTGTGCCATGCTTCTCCCTTTTCCATCCCTGCCACGTGAAGACCCTTCTCCTTTCAACGGCGCACACGATAGGAGTGAAAAAAAAAAAAAAAAAAAAGCTGTCGCGGAGTGCTGCCGTTCTTTCACGTGCCGGTGCCAAGCTTCCCCCTTTCCCAACGACGAGCGTGAAGAGGGCAAAAAAAAAAAAAAAAAGTTGCAGTAGAGCGTTGGTTCTCTCTCAAATGGCGATCCGCTTCTCTCCACGTGGAGACGCTTCTCTTTTCTAGTCACGTGCTGGCCACGCTGCGACTGCGTAGCGGAGACGCAGTCGTCGTCATCTTTAGAGTGTGTTGGCACTGGACATTGCCGTGCGCAACTTCTTTTGCCAGTAGAATGCTGAAGCCGAAGTAATTAGAAGCTAGTGCCAAATTTACTCGCTGCAATGCAAACGTGTGCAAACATGCATCACCGATTACTTCAAAAAATGATGAATGTCTTATAATTTGTGAATAAATGCAAATCTTCTGAAACATCCCCCCTCGTGTGTTAGCTCAATGCACATGTGCCACTGCATGGGGAGCCCTCTGTTCATTTAGCTTTCATCAATTTGAATTTATTTTAATTCGAACACATTTTCGGGCTCCTTCAAGTTAGATTATCGAGATTCGACTGCAGTTTGTTACATCACAGGTTTTTGTTAAATGGAGATTTGTTTTACAGTGGTTTGACAGAACTAGGAATGTACATATAAGGAGTGATTAAAGAGTGGCAATATCAAAAATACATACGTGTTTATGACATAAAGAACCATGTGAAGAAGGTATGGGATGAGATGCATGTTGCTTTGTGGTCCACCACCACCACTATCTTCGCTGAATGAGCGTTCGAAGGCAAAGCGGCTCAATAAAAGCTTCAAGTCGTGCAGTGTTGACATGTAACCAACATCCAGGTGGCCTGTGCAGTCCTGTATGTACGCGTTATGCCTATCGAGAGCAAGGAAACCAGTCAGTGAGTTGCTAGATACTGCTTGCAAGCAATATTAAATTCGCATTTTCTGCCACTTCATTTAATTTTCTCTTCCTGCCATCTAGAGTGCTGACTGGCTGACATGCATTATTGAGGCCATCATAGTCTGAGACAATGGGAAATACAATGAAAAATGAAATTGATCAATACAAAAGAGTCTCTTAGTCACATCAACTAATGTAACAAGCTACTACTCAGGGTGAAAAAAGTGGAAACAAAGCACGCCTTCCCTTTGATACAAAACAGATTTTGAAAAAGGGGCTGGGTTGGAGGCACACTTATCTGTAAAAACAGACATTACATGGCCTCAGGTAAGTTAGGCTACAGATTTAAGACTGCAGTATTATTACAGAAAAGACTCCTAAGCAACACGCAATAGTAAAAGAGCACTCTACAGCTAGGCTGCTACTGAGCAACACTGACAAAACACAAAAAAAAATTATGAAAACAACTGACCTGGCAAGGCAGCTGGCAAATTGCGACTCCGGAACTTGTGGACCCCAAAGGGGAAGAAGGCCATTGCACTTCGTGTTTGCATTTTGTAATGCTGCACTCTCCCATTCATCCCGACCTCTGGCATGCCTGGAAGCATCAATCATATATACATGTTTATATTGTGAGGAACCGGTTTATTCAGCCAGGCTCGAGCTAATACACGCTGGTGATGATAGGTATTTACAGATGAAGGGGATGTACAGGTGGTGATGATACCAAAGAGAATAAAGAGTCATTTGCTTGTCAAGCTCACACTAATTCCCCCGCGCGGTGAAAGCGGCGCCTGGTCGCTTGACAGTATTATGAAATGCGTCGCGCATAAGGCTTTAAACGAGATACGTGCACTATCTCTGTTCCTCGGCAACGATGATCAGGATCAGGATCAGGAAACGCGGTAATTGACAGATGTCTGTTCGACCACCGTGTAGGGCCCAATGAAGCGACTGATGAATTTGTCGCATAGGCCGGGGACGCGTAGTGGAGTCCATAGAAGAACTTCGTCACCAGGGGAAAAACTCACAACACGGCGAGACGAGTCATAGCGAGATTTTCGAGTGTCTTGAGAGAGGCCGGTGTTAACACGGGCCTGGTGACGGCAGTGCGCGAGACGAGATGGGAATTCTTCAGAGAAGGAGCCGTCGAGGGTGCAGGGGCCGAAAGGAAAGAGACATTCAGAGCGAAACTCGGCGAGCGACCATGGACGAGAAAAAATGAAGAAAAGCTGGTAGTGCGTTGAGCAGCCGTATTATAGGCGAATGTCACGAAGGGTAGAATTGCATCCCAGTTCGTGTGGTTGGGGTGAATGTACATGGCGATCATGTCCGATATCTGGGGTAGCCTACTTTGTACCAACAAGTCCTTCACAAAAATACCTATATAAAGAACTGCAGACAAAATACACAAATGGCATTATCAATCAGGTCAGTGATTAGGTTTTCACATAACTTGTCTGTGAAGTAAGAAGATGTTACAACCTTGATTCAGCACTTTAATAAATTTCCTTCGGGAAAGGGTGAAAGAAAAGGATAATCTGAGATGTCCTCTTCAAGAACACTCCACAAAGCACTCATACAACCTGCCTCATTCTTTTTTCATATTGGATGGCTTGCTTCGTCGTTTTCAAGTATATGTCTCAAATGGAAGTCAACTGTTACAGAGTATTTATATAAATATGATTCAGGCAAAAGATAAATTATAGAAATCTTAAGAGGCAGCATTGGTTAACTACTAGCAGCTAACTGCAGACAAAGCTAGGAACCTTATAAAAAATGAGCACCCATAAAACCTACATTGTGCACGTCTTGTACACGCTTTCTATTACTCTGAGCTAAACTACCGTATTTACTCGATTAATCCTCACATTGAAGTAATTCTCGCAACCCCCACATACATACATACAGAAATGCATTCTAGCGAGTAATTATCACACAACTGAAAATTGCAGCAATAATTTCGTCTGCTTTTTACAACCACTGATGATGATAGCCCATGACAGCCTGGCACCATTTCTTCATGTATGAGGCCAAGTGATGAAAAATGTTTTTTAAAAAGCAATAATCACTAGAAATTATTAGTCTACAATATACAGCACATCTTTTTAGGCACATGTGAGCGTTATTAAGCAAGTGATATTTTATGTTAGTTTTTCATGATTAAAAATTTCATTAAACATATGTCTTGCACAAACTCTCCTAACTCAAGTTCTGCTCGTTAAAGAAAAAATTTTTTTTTCAGGCACACATAAAAGACTTTGGACTGTGCAATGAAGTAAAACAAATGAGATCTGATGAAAAGTAAAAACACGGTAATTGAATAACCAAAGAGGTATGCACTAACAGTAAGTAGAGGCATCTTCGTATAACAGGAAGTCATATATATCTTATGACACGATTTTGCTCATTGAGGTTCACTGCACACCTAATATTGTGATAAGAAAATATGCCAAGTCTTATGAAAAATGTTAATATTAGCAAAAGAGTTAAGACTGTTTGCATAAGGAAAAATGTAAAGAAAAAAATGTTTTGAGAAAATCAACAAAAAAGAATTGAAGCAGGTGCAGTGCTTACACAAGACATTCGAGAGGACTAAAATTCTCAATATTTGTCACAAGTTCCATTGTGAACCTTACTATCGTGTGCCTCTTCTTGAATGATACTTAATGCACTGTTTAAACAAAAACGACCAAACCAACAACTGCCCCAGTTATTACTTCGCTGTTTTTGAAAAGCGCACTCTTTTTGCAAACGATGCCTGTCAAGCAAGCAAAGCGATCTTTGTGCACCCATCAACTAAACGCAATTGTTCAGGCATCTACACAAGCATCTTGCCCCCCCCCCCCCCCTCCATTCGCAGGGCAAAGTACGCATAGGAGATAAGTGCGGGTCGGCGCATCGTGACGAGCTGGGCGCCAAGCGCAGGAGCTTTTACTTTTTTTTTCTCGGGTGTATATATATATACAGTGAATGACGGCGTCAACGGCGATAGCAAAAACCAGCCAGAACCACCCACTTAAATTGCAATCGCAATAAAGAAAAAAAGCAAAGCTGAACATCGCCAGGGGAAACAATTCCGCGGAAAACCGCGGAAAACACCGCGGGAATACCGCGGAAAACAATTCAGTAAAGCGCCCTCCATTTGCAGCTTGGCCCCACATATGTGACACTAACTAAAAGCATAGCACTGCCAACACGCAAAAGTAGTTATATATTTTTATTATTTGGGTTTGAAGTGGGGGAGAGGGGCACACCCGCGCATGCACCTGCAGCTGCAAGAGTGGCAGCAACGCCGGCTTGTGAGATGCAGGCCCGCCTGCACGCTTCGCACTTCGTTGATGGCGGGGCAGCCCCAGAAGATGCATGCTCATACCGAAATTCCAAAATGCGAAGCAAAATTCGTAGATTGTCCGGGGGAAAAGTTCATTATCAAGGTTATCTCCCGCTGTTATTTTCTTAGGTCGCAAATACATGTGCTTATATGACGCAATGACAGGGACTAGAAAAACTTCATTATATCGAGGAATTCGCTATATAGAGGTTTGTTATATGCATGTTTAGCTGTAATATGTCACGTGTTTATCTTATGAGAAGATTATGGCTCTTATGACTAAAAATGATATGTTGACAGCACTTTTAGAGCATTATTACATGCTCACTCTTGATATGAGTGCTAAATAACCAACAAAATACTACATATCAAGCTAATCTTATGATTGACACACAGCTGGCACTTGTAGTTTCAGTTTCGTATATGATGGGTGATCGAACTTGTATCTTTGGAAAGAAACTATGTAGATGGAAGTTTTATGCAGCAAAATGACGGGCAATAAATTGGGCATTTAAAATAGCCAAAAACTGGAAAATGACATTTTGAGGGAAAAAAAATTCACTTTTTCCACTGCATGGAGAACCATTCCAATCCATGTCAAAATGGCAAGTGCGTGCTGCAGCGCGCTACTACAGGGCTAGTTTCAAGTTGAAAGTGATTGATCGTGCACTAAACAATGGCAACAGGGCCGACAGCAGGCACTTTGGAGTAGAGTTTTGTATTCGCCACTGGCGACAACAGCCCGGGCAGCTGAAAGCCACCAATATGCGCTGGGCCTTCCATGTACCTAAGACTGGGATGAATGGCATAACTTTATTTCGTCAGAAGGTAACTGCAGATGATCCCGTGTTAGATGGCTATCAGCCCATGTTTGACATCGTACGCTTTGAGACACCTGAAAGCTTTGCGTATGGCATTCTAAAACTCTCAAGTATTTGCTTGCAGCTTTTGTGTCTCAAATAAACATTTGAACCTGTGGTTTTATCGCTAAGGTAAGCCTTGATTAGTACTTAAAACTGTAGTTAGTTGCTAGCACGCGAATCCAGATTTGTGGCCACTCCGTTTTTTTTTCTCTCTCTCTGTACATTTTCGCAGGAAAATTTCCTATTGTCACGAGAATCCAGATTTGTGGCCACTCCATTTTTTTTTTCTCATTCTGTACATTTTTGCAGAAAAATTTCCTATTGTAATTCTCACCCCCCCTCAACATTCATCAGTTTTTTAGGTAAAATTGCGACGATATGCAAGTAAATGCAGTACAAAGTACTCAGTTTGCCATTAGTTTAACTTGTCGAATCTACCCCACTAGTCAAAGTACTGTAAGTTAGTGCCCCGCAAGTCCTCGTCCTCCATGCTGTGCTTGTTTGTTTTTTTTCTGAAGCACAGCCTCTGTAGCAGTAGAAACTAAGAACTAGTTAACATTTGTGAAAGTGTACAAGCTGCCAGTGTTCACTACCTGAAAGATAAAGGTGGTTTCACTAATGATAACCTGAATTTCAATAAGAAGTTTTAAATGGGCCCAAAGTCTGCTTTTATACTATCAACACAATTTTAAAAAAGAGAGATGGAGGGGGTTCAAAACGCATAATTTGAGAGAAAATGAACTAACATTCCTGGCAACCCATTTGCTCTACATAGAAAGGTGCAGCACCCCCCTTCCTCTATTATTACCAAATTACCCACCAAAATTTTAGTTTATGTAGCAGACTTAAACATAAAATAAATTCTAACAGATGGAAAATTTCATTGATTAAGGTGAAATACATGTATTAACCAAAATCTGCATGATCAAAGCATTGATTAAGGTGAAATACATGTATTAACCAAAATCTGCATGATCAAAGCATCAACATAAGTTATTTTCTGATCGACCCCTATTTTGACGCAGGCACACTGGTGTGTCTCGTACCATCTCTTACATCAGTATATTTCATAGGGTTCAAAAGTAGCTCAATATTTTTGGAAACCTCAGTTTTTTCCTTTAATGGCTACCAACATCAACACTAGCTTGTGCACAATATGAAAGAATCAACTTACCTGACAGCAGCCATGTGGCAGTCAACATGGACTATATTGAAGTGAGTAACTGTTGTGTATCCAGGGGTCTTGCGAGGCTTGGCTTCATATTCATCCAGATTACACCGCTTGGAAAAGGTGTAGATGCCAAGTATTTTGCTGGGTTGAAACTTGTAGCCTTCACGACAGATTATGCACACTAGTCCTGCCTCTTCACCCAAGTCTTCCATTTGCTTTAGGATTGAGCTCTTGGCTGTCACCTGAGTAGAGAATAAATCAACACAACAGACTTGCCAAACATTCTAAAAACCCCAACTAGCTATCATCTGAACTATTATCATCAACTCATTTCTATGCTACTAATGCAAGTATGAATTCCATTCCATGACAGATGTTGATTTTTACGACACAGCTATGAAATGGCATATAAATCATTCTGGCTTGAGGGTGACCACAGAAAAATGTGGTGGAAGGTTCGCAAGGCAATAGTATCATATTTACACAATTGTAGGTCAATCCATTTTGTCTTAATTTAAAATCTGAAGTTGGGGGGGGGGGGGAGGAGAGTCGATCTAGAATCGAAAGCCAGTTTCGGTTGAAACATGTGTTTAAAAATAATCTCCGCATGCTCTACAAAACTAGCTTTCCTGCAATGCTCTTAAGCACTGCTGTGAAGCTACCCTAGCACACCAAAATTGGACTTTTTTTTTTTGAGACATCGTAAATAATTTAAGGGAGCATTCCATTGTATGGACGTCTCTTATGTTGAGGCTTAATTGCACTACTAGCATACACAAATATTTTCCACTTTACCTATTTGCAATGTTCTCTACTCTACTACATCTGCATGCCAACATTTGAGAAGTCATAAGCCTTTATATTGCTTCTAGCTGATATTTTCAGCTATCATTTGTGCTTATTCACTTACATAAAAATACTGCATAGACAAATATTAACATGCATTGTCGATAGAGTAATTCAATGCATAATGTTTATGTCCACTGAAGTGGTGGCTCTTACATGCATATATACACAATCACTACTAGCTTATTCTAGAAGCAAAATTAGGCTTTGTAATTATTACCTACATGGTTGTCGTAATGCATGCTGACGAGCAGAGTCGTAGCAAGCCAAAGGGGGCAATATACCAGAGTCTTGGTGTTTCAAATTATTAATCTGCTGCTAATGTGTCCATTTTCAAGCTCATAGCCAGTGGCATCGCTTCGTTAAGAAAATGATGGCGAGACAACTAGCAGTAGTTAGTAGCACGCAGTTTATCTAAGGCAAAGCTAGTAAGTACACTGTTGAATGAGCAGCGAATTACACATGGACACTGTGAAGCTAGATGAAATTACAGTGATTGGTTCAAATTATGAAAAGAATAGAATCAAATTGAGCTTTCATTGCAATGCACACACAAACTGAAAAAAATATTAAACACAAGGGGGAAAAAGCACAGGATAAAAATTTCATGTGCAGTTTTTGTAAAAGCCTTCGTTAGGCTCACTCAACTTGAAAGTCAACTTACTTGGCCCTTCTCATTGGTGCGCATTCCAAGCTCGCCGAGCTGCTTCTCACGCATAGCCATTGCAAGCCTCTTTTTCTCATCTCTGGTCTGCTTGCGGACCTCTTCAATCTTCTGTGCCACATTGGGATTCTCTTTCAAGGCCTCCATAAGATTTTCGGCCAGTGAGCCAACATGCTCATCACTTGACACCTGCTCCAGGCTGCACATTAAAATAATTCAACACTCAGCATGAAAATTGGTATTTACATACCAAACACACACCTCCGAGATACAAATAACAAGCATGCATGAAGTGAAAATATGAGAGAACAAAGCAAAATTATTCAACACAAACTAGCTGAGTAAAACTTCAGCCGTTGCATGCCCGGACACCAAACAAGAATAAATGAAAAACTTAAGCATAATTAATCGCAGAAAGAGAAAATGACACTTGCACGGCTTATGCATGCATTTTGAAAAATGGGTTACTGGACTGGGAAATCCGCAAGTGTTCAGGCAGCATCTATATAAGCCCAAATCATCCAACTTGAACTCCACTTGTCCTTTATATCTACACATTTCATGACAGCCATTTGAAATGAAAGCTGTTGAAAGCAGCACTTCCTTTCGGAAGCTTCTGTGAAAGATATCTGCATTCAATTACTGTGTTTAATGCGCTGCTGCACCATACTTAGACTGAATACAATTGTGTTCATATAGGCACATTGTGTTCATGTTCATAGTAATAATCCGAATATAAAAGCAAGGATAGACAAAAATTTTATCAATACAATAAAAGCAGAATTATTTCAAACCATAACAAAATGGCTGCACTCAGCAGCGGGAACGAGAGAGGTCTCAGGTTTCTGGCTGCTGCACGATTTTGAGGTGCCTTCAAAATGTTTAAGCTGATCATATTACTTTCCCGAGCACACTGTGGTTTCAACAAAATTATTCTAATACCGGGCAAATCAAAAGCGGCATACACAAAGGCACTGAAAATGCCCCCAAAAGAACTTTCTTTCTCCCCCGTCCATCATGAAAATTCCATCAGTTGCAGCCATCATGAAAATTCCGGGCTGCAACTTGGCTAGCACTTTGGAGAAGTTGTTGTGGCTGCTCCAGCCCTGCAACTCCACAGTGTTTCAAGGAACTTCAGAAATGGAGTGTAGAAGTAAATATAATTTCCAATACATTGAGGAACATTTCAGTACATCATGGTACATACCGATGAATGATAGGGATGCATTCTGTGCTGACTAGGACTTGCGTTTTCTCATGTCCTCTGCTAAGTCCCGTCAAAATACGAAGGACATACTTCAGGGCTGGCTTGGATGTAAACTCCTTCCAATTTTCTGAGGCTGACAGCAGAGAACTCCTGCAGTACACATAGAACATTAACATGGCAGTGGGTACTACAACATTCTGTGATGATAAACCAATATACAGTTGAGCCCACATATAACGTCCATACTTAAAACGAACAATATCCGAGTGACTGTGAAAATATACATGGTTCAATGGCAACAAAATCGCACTTACACGAACGTCTCCGAGCACCAATGACTGGTTACAACGAACAGAGTTGGCGCTCTGCCGACTTCCCGGGAAACCACTTTCGACCACCGATCAGGCATCGGCAAGGGTGCCCATCCATCCTTATTGTAAAACGCCGACCCTGCCTCCACATCTTTCTAGTTGCCGCTCTCCCCGACCGCTTTTTGTTACGCACCCCTCCGTCCTTTGTCCTCTCGCTACTCTGAACACACCGCATCGCCAGACGAGGCTCGTGTTTTCACACTGCCACTGATCTTTTGAAGACCGGTCAGCCATCTGCCCTGTTTTTGATCGCTGGTACTGTCTTTGGCGTCGCCGGCCTGGAGTGACCAGACCATTTGCCAACATCGTCGGCCACTGACTGTATCCGATCACCGGCGTCTAGTGCACATGCATACGCTACCCTACCGACTCTGATAATTTGCGATTTATTTTGTGTTTAGGACTTGTCCTTGCCCACTTGCAGTCCGGCTCAGCATGCACTCCACACGCAGGCGGAAGCGTGGAAACAGCCGTTAATTTGCGCGCAGCGAATCGCCATCTATCGAAGTTGGTGAGGACACGCAACCCGCCGACGCAACAAAACAATTTTTGAGCACGGCCGCCGTTTTTTTTCACACCGCTGCACGCATCGATCCAAGCGGCCGTGCTTTGACTTCTGCGAGCGTAGGCACTCTTTCAAGTTTTTCTACGTGCAAGTTGCACGTTTCGCGGACCTTTCAAGCAAGCTACCTAACCTGCCTCCTCCCATGTGTTTTGGTTATCAAGGTCGCCCTCCCGTCGCATCCTTCCCTCTCTATCGCAACATTTTGCCCCCCTTCTCTCGCAAATCTGCTCTCCTTTTTTGATCACAACCCTTTCGCCCGTCTCCACCCCTCCGCGACGCCAGCCACGCTGGCTTGAATTAGTTTCGATTTCCGACTAGAAATGGGCCCAGAGCTGTACCATGCGTTCTGGCATGCGTGTTGCTTGTGCGCGTCTTGCTCGCTCTCGGCGTGCCTGTGTGGTCAGGATGGCAGACGGGAGGCCTTGCACATTTTTTCCTGCCGCTCAACAAAATGTCGAAAGTGTGACCGCTTGCTTGGGCATAATCCACAACGCGTTAGATGCCGCGTTGCGGAGCGCTTGCTCATAGCTGTTGACCACCTGGCAACAAACTTGCCATTTCGGGCGTCCCCGGTGTTCAGCTGTGGAGATGGTGAATATTTCATGGGCCGTGGTGACGGCTACGAGCGAGCAAAACTGTTTTCGCGAGGGCCGACTTCGTCGACTTCGGGCCCGATGCCGAGCCTGAGGATTCCGAACAGGACCACTCCGGCGGCGATTTGTGGCAGCGAGCCGTTGAATCGACCTGGCAGAGCGGGTGGGACATCAGTTGGTGATGGTTCAATTACGGCCGATGATGATGCCACACCATAGAAACGTGCATGGATTAGGGCATTGTGAATTAAGTACGGGGCAAGAGCGATTTGGAAGAATAGGATTGCAAAACGACGAAACTTGGAGCCAGTGCCTCATGCAGCTTTTGCCACGGGCCTCGGCGAAGAGCATGCTGCTGTTTGAATAAACTCGTGACTGCCCTTATCGCTTCTGCTCTTTGAAACACGTGCATCACGAAGTTTTTTGGGCAAAAAAAAAGTCTGTTTTTCGTTTACTACGAGCTTCGGGATACAGCGAACGAATGCCATGTCAGGCTCAGGTTCGTTATAAGCGGGCTCGACTGTAGTATATTTATTTCTTTGAGATGCTGCCTATGAAGAAGTGCCTGCAAATGTGCCAAATCACCACAAAATTATTTCAAGGCACTCAACATTCTATTGCAAGAAAAATGTGATGATATACTAATTTTTTAGTCTTGCAGTAACTCATCCTAACTAATCTGTAATTAAATATCTATATGTGCTGACATCATTGATACTTTGTTTCGGCATAAACAGAATGCACTCTGAGGCGTTCAGTATTTAGTTCACTGTGTTCAGTATCCAACACCTTCAAAACCAAGCATTGAGAATAATAATGTTCAGTAGCTTCATGTCCAATGCAATGCATCATCCTTATTCTGCTCAAGTGGAACTTTATCAGTTCAGAAGCTGGCCGAATATTTCCTGGACATTCTTATCTACAAATATGAGAACAAAAATCTTCCCATTTCTTCACTAAAAACTCGCCCTGCTTCGGCCCCAGAAATAAAGTGGCAAGATTGGCACGGCTACCTCGGCTGCCTTCATGCCACATCCGAGCATCTCTGCTTCCCTCTACACAGACTATGGAGTGTGTGCTGGCACGTGCTGGATTCCATGGCAAGGAGGCGCATATGATCCAATGCTACCCTTCATTGATGCCAGCTATTGGCCGGTAGTGTGCTATCTTGGTGTGTGATGTCAAACAGCAGTTGTAGGAAACTTTAAAGAAAAAGAGCACAGGCCTCTGATTGACAGCTGTGTCTGCAATCTGAAGGACGTGTCTTCTCACCAGCCCCCAGTGCTACCAGTACCACTCATCACAAACACTTTCATAAAGATAAGCATCTCAAGGTACCTGCTTGGGAGCACATTGGTAAATGCACTGCACCACCATTTGCTGCTGCTTCCTTGTGCGGGACTGCTTCTAGTACACGTCGCCTGCAGAAATGAAAGCAGCATCACAGTCACCACAGTTATAAAAAAAAAAAGTGCTGTGCTCATGCACAGTCAGGAGTGGTTTGGGCATGAGGAATTAAACATCACTGTACAGACAGTTCCATAGCAAATCTGTACGTATCTCGAGTATACAGCAGGAATTCTGCCACAACAAGAGTGTGTTAGTTGGTAGCGCAGAGTCTGAAAATTGCTTGGCCTGATCTGTGTCAAAAAGCAGTAGGTACTATAATTATGCAAAGAAACATTGGTTTCTGGCCGATAGCAATCAGTGCCTAACTGCTCACACATGCATCAGGGAAAGCCGAACGAGTCATTTGCTATGCTACCAACCTCTAATAGCTTTGAACTGAAATACTAGTGATTGGTATCACCACCAGCTACTACTGCACAATCTTGCAGAAGAGCCAGAGTCTTTTTCTAAGGCTCTAAGCTCTGCCTTGACTCCTACAGCAAACAGTCCTGCCATCCTACACTGTCAAAATTTTGTCACTTTCTCGTCAACTGTAGTTCCAGTCTGACGTAACAGAGCGGCCAACACTACTGCGCGCCCAATGCACTAAATTATGGCAGCCAAAAAATGCTTATTAGATACTGAACATAAAATATGATGAAAGCATTGAAATTTGACTTGTAAGACACGACTGTTCAAATAAACAGTGCTTATTTCAGATTTTTAAACAGATGGCTAATTTTCTAGAGCTGGGTGTGGAAACCAGAGTCTGCAGACCGCATGTGGCCAATGAAGAAGCATAATATGGCCACCGGCATGACTTCAAAACTCTAGTCTTCCCATACAACTTTCTATATAAGAAGGCTGACATAGCAGTTTTGACCTAAAAAGAAATTTTGGCTTGTAATTTTATGTTTGTAATTGGAATCTTGTAATATGTGAGCTGCAAACAAACTAAAATTCTGATCTGGTTGTGTACAATATCTCTTCGCCTGCATAGCCAACACCCCCCTTCCCTCCCCCCTTAACTTTGCCGTGCGGCCCACCTCTGTGTCAGCTCCATAGAACTAGGGGCCCTCCGCCTGAACAAGTTACGTACTGACCCCTGTTCTAGGGGATTGTGATGTATGGCAGCTGCATGCCAGCAAACATGGAGCTGCATGTTGACAGCTGTGGCATCAAACATGCTGGCCTCAGAAACAGCAGCAACAGAGGTGGCTAGCCTGTGAGCACTTTCCTTTTTTGTTAGTTTCTTTCTCCACCTTTCCTTTGCTCTCCACTCTCCCCTTCCACAAAGGCATGACACGTGAGTGTGGTCGAGTGCGCGGGCGTGTGTGTTTTGTGCTGAGTGCGTGTGGATGTGTGCGTGGTGCACACAAATGTGCATGCATGTGCTTGCGTGCTCGTCGGTTTGTGTGCGCGCGCTTGTGTGTGTGGGCGACTGCATGCGCTCGTGCGTGTGTGTTCTTTTGTGCACATGAATGTGTGTCTGTGTGCGCTCTTTCGCGAGTGAGTGCATGCGAATGTGTGTGTATGTGAGTGCACTTATCTGTCTGTGCATGCGTGTTTGTGCGTGTTTTTTTGTCACTGCGTTTTTCCACACGTGAAGAACCTGCCTTCTACGTGTACCTCATGTGCTAAGCGTTGTCTGTGTCTGTATGCAAATTAATGCTGGTTGCGCTCGGCCATCACTTTCCACAGTTACTGCTTCGCGTAGGAGCACATTGCAGGAAGCTGCACTCCCGTACCTTTCCCTTCATTGCTGAAAAATGTCTGCGAGTGAAGCAGGTAAGCTTACACATTGAAGGCCTCAGTACCTTAAGGTATCTCTGCCAACATCCACGATGCAGCTCAGCTATCCTTTGGATTATTTACCTCTTCTGGAAGTCGGTCAACAGAAAATTTTTAATAAATCAGTCAAGTGAGTTCACTCTCCTGTGTACTTTCTACTCATGTGCTACACAGGAAGGCACCGAAATTTTCTTGAAAACTGGCTCACCAATGTGTTCGCTTCAGTCACTATCATCGCGACAGCAGCTGGGGCACGAAGAAAAGAAAGACTATATTGCCAGCTACCATCAATTCTTCTATATGTTTATTTGAGGAAGTTGGGGGGTGAGGAAAGATAAGGTGTACAGCTAACCAGCGGTCTGCGGTTGCTATAAAGCAACATCTTCAAGCACTGCAAACCATCCCGCATAGACAGCAAAGGAAAGGAGGGGTAGTAGGCGCGCACCGCCATGCAGCGAACGGAGCGGCCACGCCTCCTTTTGCAATCACGCCTCCTCCATTCGAATGAGACAACCGGAAGAATACTGCCGCACGCGCCCAATCCAGGCGGCCGTGACTGTTACAACAGACTTTTACATAAACACTGAATGGGTCTGTTATAAAGAGAGAGAATTACAAGTCACAAATGAATTTACTCTCAACAGGGGCATAAGAAAATGATAAAATAACTTTTATGAATTCACACTTAGTTTCTAAAGCCCCTTTTTTATTTTAAATCTGATTCAAAGACATGTTCACTGAAAATTATGCAGAAGTGCTGTAAAAAATGTTTGCACCTGCCGAAGTGGCAAAAATTGTGGATGTAAGAAAATGAAAGAAAATGAAAAAGAGGAATTTTTTAAAATATTATAGCTCCTATATAGCACAACTGTCAAAATCGTGCTACCAGTAAAGTTTTTAAGTTTTTGCACTCTTTCTATGTTCACGGGTGGTGATGAAGATAAGGCATATGTAGCAAGCGAAAGTTCAGTTATGAGGTAACAAAAGCGCACTAACTCATCGCAAGCATCACAGATGCACTTCTCAGACCCATTATAATAGTGTCTCGTTGGACTCGCTGCTTATTAGCACTCAGACCTTGGGCGAAGACTACCACAGGACAACTCTTTATACTCACAATTAAGCATGAACATACTTTGAAAAAAACGGGTACCGCAGCCGCGCACGTCACAACCAAGATCTCAGCTTGAAGTCGTGGCTAGGCCTAACTTCAATCCGAACTTTGCACATGAGATTTCGCGTTAGTGCTCGTGCGAAAGCAAAGAAGCCGTAATGTGCTTCATCGAAAGATAAAAAATTGCATCACTCAATTGCTCCTCAGAACTGCAGATGGTTTTTTTGTGCATCAGCGGCAGACTCCCAACCAAACCAGGTATGCAGCGACCACTCGGAGCAGCGGCTAGCAATTTCACACGTCAGCGCCCCAAAATGCAAGACTAAGCACGCTGCACGCCTATTTTTTTTTTGTTGCTTTAGTTTGGCATATATGACCACCAACAGATCGCAGATTGGCGACTTTTATTCTTAAACCAGTATGTCGACATCCGCGGCGTGCTGTTGCCACCCCGAAAAAATGGTGATGTTCGAGTAAAAAGTTATAGATCTTGGGACGTCCGCGGTGAAAAAGCCCGCTGTAAAGAAGTCCTGACCACCTTGCTTACTTCAGATTTTAGTCAATTATATCGGAATGTCTGTTGTACCAGAATCCGTAGTAAACGAAGCTTAATCAATGGGAGAAATAGGGTGATCGGCATAACTATGCCAATTGATATGAAAACATACCAATTTGTTGTACCAAATACGTTGTAACGAGATTATGCTATACCACTGGAAATCATAAGATCGATCAGCTTTGCTATAATATGGACTTGCACGACATAGCAGAATAGCTTACTTTTTTTGTTAATTACCCAGCTTGGCATATTGCGGAAAAAAGAAAAAAATATTTCAATGTGCTATGCATGGCTCATAAAAATGCTGGGCCGATTCGACACGCACAGCCTATGTGTTCTTTTTTGTAATACTTGGCACAAGTTAGCCAAAACACCCTGTACAGCCTTACAATGACGTGTAGCAGTGAATTATCGTTGTCACTAAATAGAAGTTTCTACATTCCGTTAAATGGAAGTACAAGAAATTAAAGAGTCTTTTAACCAAATCAGATTTTTCAGAGCCAAAACAGCTAAAATCTTGTCTTGTACCAGTTGATATTTATCGCCCAATCTAGCGACTCTACTAGAAAGTCATGAGTGAAATAGTAAATTAAAGAGAGAGAGAGAAAAGAAAAAAGAATACTACTTACTTGGCAGGTGGTGCATACACAAGCAGGTACTGAATGGCACCCTCCACGATGCCACGAGCAACAAGAAGGTCTTTGAGTCGATTGCCATTGTCATTGGGTTCAATGCCAGCACTTAGGTTACAAAAACACTCTAGCTGGACATCGTCCTCTGGTGTGTGCTCCCCATCAAAGCGAATGAAATTGAGCTGTCGCTTGAAGTGGTTGATGAGAACATCCATTTTGGCCTGGGAAGATCAACATCAAAGACACAGTATTGTAATAGTAAAAATTATACCATATATATTATTAAAAATAAAGGAGAGGGAATAGAGATGGAGGAAAGCTTTCCAACTCATATGATTGAAGAAGCAATGTTTTATAATGTAACAGCCTCATTTTGCCAGAAAGCAAAAAAAGAATTCAGCAGTTGGTGGCACTTGTATGTACCAGATGGTACTCAGAGTGGCGTTGGTTTAGTGTGCCTGATAGTGTGCCTCTAATAGAAACAATGAAATTGTGACCTTCCTCACTGCATATTTTTTGCAGAAAATGGCAGTGATGTCTCTGCGCAACTTTCTTGCTCAACAAGCTCACATAGTCACTTCATATGCTGTTTTAGTCTTCGTATATTGGCAGCCTGTCATAGCTTACCATGTGTGTCCGCCTGACCTGAATTTTTCGAACATGGAGCCTTCTAAGTCCGGGCGACATGCGCGGTTCCGTATCTGTGAAGACTATGCGGACTTATAAAACACGCAAGCATCAGTTAGCAGCAAACACTATGCCACAGTAACTTTATGATGTCGCAACATCAAAATTTTAGATTTTGAAGGACAGAAAATTGCACTTCCTAGATTTTATGAAGCTTCAAATTGAACAAATCATTCCGCTGTAGAAACTAGTTCGTTATATCGAGTTTAAACAGTTGTTAAATTTTGTGCAGGTGATAGTAGCAGCATTACGCCTCTGCAAGTCAAACACCGCTTCTCTATGACAAGCTGTGATGACAGACAGGTACAACTTCTTCATTTTACCCTTACAAAGTGTGTTAGACCAGTGTCAAATGACTTCACATATGATTCACAGCCAGTGTCAACAAGACTATGTTGGTGCAGAATCAAGTCATGGTCACTGGATCCTATGCTCAAGAAAAATGATTTTTAACAGAAAAGCTGTTTAGGAATGGTTAGAGCTGTGCGAATAGAAAATTGTGGGTGCTAAGCCAGTCCAATATTTTTCGAACGTTTCTCGAATACTTCTAGAATTCCCTCAGCCTCTCCTCCTCATTCAACTTCTACAGAGAGAAGAGTGTGCTCCCTTGAAGTCTTAAGTTTGAAATCTGCCTCATAGACATCAATATATAAAAATATCTGGAAACTTCAATGCTAAAAATCTCAGGCATTAGATTTTTCCCATTTTCCACCCAAGTTCGGGTTTGAAACAGTATCAATTAAGCCCCACTTCTGCCACATCCATAATTTCCACGTTGAAACCAGTTTTTTTTTTTCCGAAAGCACATTTGCGATCATAGCAATAAATATGACAGGTTAAAGAGGTGAAGCACTTCAAAAATTCAAAGGGAATGTTTCCAATCCAATGTGGACTGTCTTAGAGAAGTAACGTAACTAACCGACTGAAAAGCAGCTTAGCTACAAGTGTGATGAAGTGAAGCATATTAGAAGTCTGAAGCAGTCACTTCCAATTGGACGTTGACTGTACAGTAGACTAGCGATAATTTAAACTCTAATAACTCATACTTTCGGTTAATTCAAACAAAATTCAATTTTTTTCGTTGGTCCTCAATTCTTTCAATGTATTTAAAGACTCTTAATTCAAATTCCATCATTTAATTAATTCATACTTTTTGCAAGTCCATACCAGAAAATATCAGCTTTTTTCCCACTGCTTGCACATTTTTTCCTAACAGTCTAAAAATGAAAAATAAGCACCTGAGGCCTTCAAGAAAAAAAGCATTGTAAGTAAACAATGTTTGAAATGAAGCACACGCATGGTAAACCGTGATGCTTCTTAACTGGTCTAGAGAGATTTGTGCCGAGGGCACATACCCTATAGCAAAAAAGCAGTTGGCAATTCACAATTTTTTTTTAAAAGGTCTGATTAGCAGTTAATGGCCAATTAACTTGTGGACTTCACACTTCTACTTTCTGTTCACTGCGTGAAGTTAGGGCTTAAAAACACCTGAAAAATTTTTAAAAATGATAAAATGAATGCCTAATCATAATGTATGGTGTCACCTCACCCAGAGTCATCTATCTTGGAAATTCTGACAATTCAACTTCCTTGATAATTCCAACAAAATTCAGAGGTCCCTTTGAGTTTGAATTATTGAGAGCAGACTCTATTTGTCTCTTGGAAGTTCAAGTAGATTCGAAAAGCAAAATTTCAATGCAAATTGAACCGAATAGCAAACACTACTAGCAAAATATTCGAAATTTCGAATATTCGCACACCCCTACCAATCCTTCCTTGTTTCCCCCGTACCAAAAAACTATAGCTGCACGAAGAGCAGAATTATGGGTGCAAAGAGAATTCGAATATTGAAGTGCGAGTACGGATCTAACTGAATATTTTGTTAATACAGTCGAATCTCGATAATTCAAACTTGAAGGGGCCTGAAAATTTGTTCGAATTAAAAGAACTTCGAATTGATGAAAGCCAAATGAACGGAGGGCTCACCATGCAGTGGCGCATGTGCATTGAGCTAGCCCACGAGGGGAAGTTTCAGAAGACTTACATTTATTCACAAATCACAGGACATCCGTCATTAATTGAATTAATCGGTGATGCACCTCTGCAGATGTTTGCCTTGCAGAGAGTCAATCAATTTCGCACGCAGCTTGCAAAGCATTTCTACTTCGACTTCAGCATTCTCCTGGCAAGAGAAGTTGCGCGCCGAAATGTCCAGCGCAGACACTTTCTAAAGACGACAACAACGACTGCTTAGCGGAGCCTCTTCGCTTCGCAGCATGGCCAGCACGTGACAAAAAAGGAGAAGTGCCTCCACGCGTAAAGAAGCAGTTCGGCATTTGACAGAAAACCGACACTCCACTGCAGCTTTTTTTTTTTTTTTTTGCTCGTCCCCCCCCCCCCCCCCCCCCCCCCCCCCCCCCCCGAGGCGCAGAGCCGTGCTCCCACAAGGACTGTAGAGATAGTGCCTTTTCTTTTCTTGAACCACACATTCATTTAACCCAGCGACAGATTTCTTTTCCCCCTCACTCGCTTCGCACGTGGCATTGGAAAAGGGAGAAGTGTGGCATAGGTGCGCCACAGATCGGCATTTTAGAGAGAGCAAACCTTCCAGCACAGTCTTTTCTTTCCTTCGCGCACAGCGTTAAGGTGTCGGAGGTGCCGCACGGGATTGGGCATGGTGCTGACAGCATTTTCAAAGCGCAGTACGTTCGAATTAACCGTCGCAAGTGCTCGCGACAGTTACACATAGCTTTACGGGACCTCAGCGTGAGTTCAAATTAAAGGGGCAGACTGGTCAAAACCCAAAAAGTGACAAGAAATTAATTTTTTAAAATTTACATATTTGGTTTCTGCAAGTATTTTTCTATCTCTGCAAATTTTCACAGACCAGGAAGTGGTAATTTTTTTGTAATGTCATTCTAACTGTCCAGGTTCTTGGTGCTCTTAACATGCTTAACCTGCAAAAAAAAAAAAAAGGGGGGGGGGGAGGGGTGGAACAGACCTTAGAAGCTCTGCTATGAACTTATGAGCACCTTTATGAGCATTGCAAAACACGCGCACCGTAATTGTTGCTTTTTGAAAAAGCTGTGTGTTTTCAGTTTTTTTTTTCCATTTTCATCAAAAAAGTAAATTTACGACTGTTCAACATTGAGGCCTCAATATTTCTGCATCTAGGGCACGTACAACAATGATTCTTTTTGCAATGCAAAGCTGTATGTGTGTAGAATGCAAGCATGAGAGCAGAATTTATAGTACAAGCCTTTTCAATTAATTACTCATCAAAATTGTAACACAATTACAAGTGCTTTTGAAATTAGATAGCTCATTTTACTGTAAAATAACCAAGAATGGTCTAACAAGATTACTGAGAAAATAAACAAAAAATGTCCAAGAACAGTCTGCCCCATTAACCGGAAGTTCAAATTAAGTGCGTTCGAATTAACAAGATTCGACTACATCAAAGCGAAATCGCAGAAAAAATGAAGTTTAGAGTAATCATAAACATATTCTTATGAGATAGTCACATGAAAGTGTTTCATTTGGATAGATTGATGAAGTGCTAGCAGAGGGGAGCGGTGTTTCATGGCTGTCATATTGTCACATGCTTGATCAAGAAATACGATGGCAGTCGTGCATGTGCCAAGAAGGACTATGAAATTGATGAAAAAAAAAAACTCGCTTGGGCGTTCTATTAAAAAAACCGACCTGCTTCTGCTGTCTCAATCTCTGCGGCAAGACCTCTGTTATGACCTCGTGACACTGGTGGAGGTGCTGGAGCCTAATACCTGATGCAGGACAGTCTTGCTCGGACCCATTCACTAGTCCAGAGACTCAGCCCCTCGTCACGACTCCGGTGCAACCGATTGATTCAGTCGGCGCCTACTAGGCCTAAATCTGGAGTCCGCACCTGTTCCGCCTCTTTCCAGCATGGCAGCTCCTACTACATCCACGGTTATCCTGCCATCACAGACCACTCTTCCCTCGCAGGTGACCCTTGAACATCGTCGCATTCCTGAAGTTTTCCGTGGGGAAGAGTATGAGGATGTCGAGGACTGGCTCAAACAGTTCAAACAGGTCGCTGTATACAACCACTGAAGCGAACAGCACAAACTTGGCCGTGCATATTTCACACTGGAAGATAGCGCTCGCACGTGGTACGGAACCGCGAGGCTATATTCCAATTTTAGGAAGATTTCTGTTGAAAAGCTCCTCGCTACATTTCTGAACTCGGACCGACGTGTTCGCGCACAGCAATGATTGAGGCCTGCGCGCGAAAACCCAATGAAACAGCCGCCATGTACGCAGAAGGTTATGATCCATCTGTTTCGACGAGCTGACCCTGACATGCCCGAGGCGAAGAAGGTGCGTCACCTAAGCAGGGTGCTAAGGAACCAGTGTTTGCGGGCCTCGTACGAATTCCACCTACAACAGTAGATGAATTCATAAGAGAGGCGACTGTCATCGAGCGCGCACTGCAACAACGACGTCGACACTTTGAACGCCTGCCAACCACACGGCAGTAAGTGCTGTAGCT